CATCCACATGGGAACAAATGATACTGCCCGGCACAGCCCAGAGTGTATTAAAGGAATCTATGTGGCTCTGGGTAAAACGGTGAAGGACCTGGGAGAACAGGTTGTGTTTTAGTCAGTTCTTCCTGTTGAAGGCCACGGCATAGGAAGAGAAAGAAGAAATACTGCAAATAAATGACTGGCTACATAGATGGTGTCATCAGGAAAGGTTTGGGTTTTTGGAACATGGCTTATGCTTTCAAGATGAAGCTCTTCTATCAGAAGATGGTTTGCACCTCACATGTGTTTGATAAGAGCCTTGCAAACTACATAAGGAGGGCTTTAAACTAAATCCTATGGGGGAGTGAGACAAAACTTCAAAACCTAGTAAGATGCCAATAATTGGAGATAAGAACACCAAACATTTGCAGGAAGTGGCACATTTGCTAGGAAACATTAATTTACAGGGAAGTAAAAAAAATGAAAACCTCAGGGCACATAAACCATGGATTCCGATGCCCTTGCACTAATGCATAGAGTATTATCCTTTCTTGCTCATCTTTCTTGCAAGAGGAACTTGAAGTCTTAATACAGAAAGGAAACTATGACCCAATGGGCATTACTGAAACTTGGTGGGATGACACTCACAACTGGAATATTAGGATTGAGGGTTACAACTTGTTTAAAAGGGGTAGACAAATAAGAAAGGGGGAGGAGTAGCATTATATGTAAAGAAGGTATATACTCCTGAGGAAATAACATGAATCTGAGCATGGAAGTTCAGTTGAGAGTCTCTGGGTAAAAATAAAAGGAGTAAGAAAGTGATATTATGGTGGGGGTCTGCTACAGACCACAAAACCAGGCAGAGGACTTGGATGAGACACTCATAGAATGGATTACAAACTTCTCAAAGAGACGGGACTTAGTGGTCACGGAGGTACCCAGATATCTGTTGGAAGTCCAACTCTGCTAAAAATGAAATGTCAAATAAATTCCTGACTTGTCTTGCTGACAACTTCATTTTCCAGAAGGTGGAGAGGGAAACAAAAAGTTCTGCTATCTTGGACTTGATTCTCTCCAACAGGGAAGAACTGGTTGAGGAGATGAAAGTAGTGGGCATTCTGGGTAGTAGTGACCATGTCATTTTGCAATTAACAGTCTTGGGGAACGGAAAAGCTGTATGTAAGACATATAGTTTGGACTTCAGGAAAGCAAACTTTAACAAACTTAAAGTTATGCTGGGTAGAATCCCATGGTCAGAAATACTTAAGGGGGAGGGAGTTCAAGAGGGGTGGAAGTTTCTTAAAAGCGAAATACTGAAGGCACAATCACAAACGATTCCTATGAGAAGGATGAATATAAAGAAATAACCAGTGCTTGTAAGGAGAAAAGCTAAAGCTCAGTATGAACTTAGACAAGCAAGAGATGCTAGAAACAACAAAAAGGGGTTATTTTGTTATGTTCAAAGTAAGAAAAAAAAGCAAGGTAAGCTCACTGCAGGGACAGGAAAGTGAAATTGTAACAGGTGATGAAGAGAGGGCAGAACTGTTCAATTCCTACTTTTCCTCAGTCTTCTCGTGAGGGAAATGGTACTCAATATGGCAAAAACAGAACACATGATGAAGGAAGGGAGCTGCAGCCTAGGATCGGCATAGGAGTAGTACATAAACACCTAGTTTCTTTAAATGAAACTAAGTCCTCATGGCCAGATGAACTACTAAAAGAACTCACAGATGTAATTTCTGAGCCTCTGTCCATTATTTTTGAGAATTGTTGGAGAACAGATGAGGTGCCAGAAGATTGGAGGTGGGCAAATGTTGTCCCCATCTTCAAGAAGGGGGAAAAGAAGGAGCCGGGTAACTACCAACCCATCACCTTGAAATCTATACCTGGAAGAGTTTAGAACAAATAATCAAACGGTCAGTCCTTGAGCATTTAGAAAAGATTACTTTGATCGCTAAGAGCCAGCATGGGTTTCTTAAGAACAAGTCATGTCAGACTAACCGTATCTCTTTTTTTGAGAAGTTACTACCCTGCTGGATCAGGGGTATGCTGTAGACATAATTTATCTTGATTTCTAACACTTTTGATAAGGTTCCACATAATATTCTTGTTGACAAGTTGGTAAAATGTGGTTTGTATCCTATTACTGTTAGGTGGATCTGTAACTAGTTGACGAATCACACCCAAAGAGTGCTTATTAATGGTTCCTCATCCTCTTGGAGAGGAGTGACAAGTGGAGTGTCTCAGGGATCTGTCCTGGGACCTGTTTTGTTCAACAACTTTATAAATGATTTGGATGACGGAATAGAGGGAATGCTTATTAAATTTGCGATAATACTAAATTGGGAGGGGTAACAAATATGGTAAAAGACAAAGTGAGGATACAAGATGACCTTGACAGGCTGGAAAAGTGGGCTAAAACAACTAAGATGACTTTCAATGGGGATAAATGTAAAGTTCTGCATTTAGGTAGGAAAAATCAAATGCATAATTATAGGATGGGGAAGACTTGTCTTGGCAGTAGCATGTGTGAACAAGATCTAGGGGTCTTAGTAGATCATACACTGAACATGAGTCAGCAGTGTGATGTGGTAGCTAAAAAGGCAAAAGCCATTTTGGGCTGTATCAACATAAGTATAGTGTCCAGATCATGCGAAGTGATGGTTATCACTTTACTCTGTTCTGGTGAGACCTCACCTAGAGTATTGTGTTCAGTTTTGGATACCACAATTTAAGAAGGATAGAGACAAGCTGGAATGTGTCCAGAGGAGGGCAAGAAGATGGTGAGGGGTCTGGAGACCAAGTCCTATGAGGAAAGGCTGAAGGAGCTGGGTATGTTTAGCCTGGACAGAAGAAGACTAAGAGGTGATATGATAATCATCTTCAAGTACTGGAAGGGCTGTAATATAGAGGATGGTGCGGTCTTGTTTTCTTGGACCAGAACCAATGAGTTGAAATTAAATCAAAAGACTTTTTAGCTAAACATTAGGAAGAATTTGCTAACAGTTAGAGTGGCTTCCTTGGGAGGTAGAGGGCTCACCTTCTTTGGAGGTTTTTAAACAGAGACTGACAGCAATGCTGATTCTGTAAACTTAGACAGATCATGAGAGGGAGAGCAGGAAGGATTGCATAAGTGCTTAGTTCTTGTGGCCCTTTCTTACATGCCCAGTGAAATGCTGATCGCCACTTTGGGGTCAGGAAGCAATTTTCTCCAGGCCAGTTTAGCCAGGGATCCTGGAGGGATTTTTTTTTACCATCTTCTGGGCATGGAGCAGGAGTCACTGGAGGTGTGTGTGTGTGGGGGGGGAGGTATTTGTGAATGTCCTGCATTGTGCAGGGGGGTAGATTTGATGACCCTGGAGGTCCCCTCCAACTCTATGATTCTAAGAGACCTGCAGGTCATAGCCTAAACAATCTTCTTTTCTCTCACCTTTTCAAGCACCTTACCTGATTAAGAGTTTAGGAAAACTTGAAAGCTTGTAGGCTGTTTTGAAGTTACTTTGGTTGGTCTTAATAAAAGTTGTTATGTGCCTCTTGTTTTTGGATACTCCTTCTGAAAGGATTTCTAAAAATTATTTTGACTTATTTGCATACCCCCTTTATATGCACAGTGCTTGACAATCTTTAAGTTATTGTTATTTCTCATATAGGCAACTCAGGGTGAGAGCGTCTCATGAACTGTCCATTCAATCCCTGTCTGAAACCCAGATCAGATTCTTACACGAAACTGGGACAAGCAGAGCCCTGACAGAAGAAGTAACATTTCATGAGGAAGGGGAGGAGAAGACCATTCAATTCAATCAGTTAATAATCTGCCTTTTAAACAAATGACAAAAAGGCAATCTACTTTTTCTCATTAAAACCTGACACACAGCAGTAACTGAGGAGATTATGCTGTGAAAACAGACTGCATTGCATGGCAATGCTTGATCGAGATCAGCTATCAGAGAGTGAAAAGAAACCACTGTTTCGTGATTATAATAGCAAATTCTGGAAGACAACCAAATACATCATCTGGTGACTCAACAGCTGTTACAGCTTGGTAGTAATACCTTGCCATTTGCGATAAACGATAACTTGGGGGGAAATTGATTTCTTGTCTACCAGAAACAAGAAAATGTTCTTCTTTGAACATTATAGAAAATTCTTTTAAATTTAAACAGCTCATTTTCGAATCTCTCTCTACCCCCTTCCCTGCCAACCCTGATCTGCATCTTTCTCTCAGCATGGGATGCTAAGCTGATTTTATGTTAATTTATTTTGAGCCAAAAACAAATTGAGGGGAAAATATTGGATGCAGTTTAAATAAACTATGTATGCTTAGCCAAACTCGACAAGAGGGTCATGAAGGGGGAGGTGAATACAATCTATTCTATATCTACCTTTATATTAATATTTATTACCTTAACATATTAACTCATAATTATACCTTCTTTACTCGTCAAAAAACAGGAAGTTTCAAAATAATTTAAAGTCCACCAGCCTCCATGCTGGGCCATTGATAGGGAAGGCAATAATTTTCCATGCTGGAGGCCAAGATGAAAACTATAGTCCAGATGTATATGGATTAATGACAAAATGCTACTAGCACTGAACAGTTATATCTATACACACAAATCCCACCCTCATGGTCACCGATGACATGTAAAAATCACTAAAGCATTTGCTACCTGCTCATAGTCCTCGTTTTAAAAAACAATCCCTGATACAGTACTTCACAGGCAGCATTCAGACAAAACTGCTTCTTATCAAGACCTCTGCAGCTTGATTGTATCCATTTACAGGATGTAATGGGGCTTACTCCAAGAAAGTCTGTGTGCAGACTTACAGCCCTGCAGTTTAGCTGTGGATTACAGGGGGTGTTTTTAGTGTCATGAATATTTTAGACTCTGGCTCTCCACTTAGGGTTTTGAAGTGTCATAAACAATATCTCTCAAAGATCAATATTCACATAGGACATCTATGGGGAAAAGAAACTCAACATCTATAGGAGGTTGGTGGAAGCAATCAACTAGATATACCTTCATGCCTGGTGCGGTTTTCTTGGCCTCTGCTTTTAATCTTGTTGCTTTTAACATTGGCCTGGTTTTCTTGTAATCTTGTTTTCCTATTGCAAGAGGGGGGGAAAAACAGTTACCGGAAAGGATGCATGGGGCAATTATTTTACTGTCTGTAACATATCCAGATTTTCCTTTACAAAACACAAACATTCAACAGCAATCCTTAACAACCACAGAGAGTAAGTGTAGATATCAGGTAGGGCTGCCAGACCCCCCAAAAGAGGAGGGGGTCCCCCACTGCCAGGTCCTGCCCGCCAGCTGCCACTCAGATGTCCGTGGGGGACTTACCAGTAGAAAGAGAAAGGCCCAGGCCACGTTGCTGGTGTCGCACAGAAAGTGACATCATCATGCTAGCAACTTCCTGGGGTTTTCTCTTTCTCCTGGTAAGTCCCCCCATCCTCCACTAGTTGCCAGAAGGGATCTGCAACTCTAATATCAGGGCTGGTTGCACAGTGACAAACTTTGTGAGGTTTGGTCTAATAGGGACTATGTGATAGTATTGTTTGAGCTATTTATTATTTTGTGCTTGGAATGGTCACATTATTTCAAATACTTAATCTAGCAGACTGCTGCTGTAGCTTGCTGTGTAGCCATGCCATTTCTAATGCAGTAAATCTGAAAAAAAGGAAACTCTATTATGAAAAAGTTACATAAAATTGACTATGTGTGTGAGATATGAAAGCTCTGAATATGCCAGGATTAGTGATACATAAACTTTTGGGGAAAGTCTTTGTGAGTTTGCAACAATTCTACTTATAAGGTCATTAGCCCTACACCCAAATTCAATTCTAGAAAAATAAGGACTTCCCACCTAGTAATAATAGGTTTTGACCATATTGCAATTGTTTTACATGTATCCATTTTTCATGCCTCGTGTCACACAACTGCATTATGGTGGCATGCCTGCCTATCAGTGTTACATTAGCTGAAAGCTATACTTATAATCATGGAACTTTTAAAGTGGTTATCCTAACTTTATGGCCACTGTTTGCAGCATTGAATGTTAGTGAGGTTTTGTTTTAGATAGATAATACAAGAGAGACAGAGATAAAGACAGGGCCGTAGTCGGGATTTTTTTTTTGTGGGGGATAATTTCTTTTCTTGTGGGGCACCCATTATACTTATATTCTGACTAAGTCATAGCATTGGTCTATCGTGTCTAGTATCCTCTGTTCTGCACCTACTGTGTGATCCTTCTTACTAGAGATGCTGGGGATTGAACCTGGGACTTCTGTTTTCCTACGGAGCCATGGCCCTTTCCCCAAAGAAACAGGAGCCCTGCTGGCTGCATCTGGTCAGCCTGGGAAGACCTCCTCCACGCAAAGTGTGTGCACTCACTCCCACTCCAGCAGCCTGCAAATGTGTGGAGCTTGGAGCTTTCATCTACCCTTCTCTTTCACTGCCCATGCACTTCTCGGCTCACATGCGTTCCAGTCCGCCCAATCCCTATTTCTTCAAACTGTGTCTTTATTGCTTCTCCATAAATGTCCCTGAAGCGGCTTAGAATGGCACAAAACCACAATATATTTATTTATTTATTTATACTTTAGATTTCTATACCGCTCTAATCCCGAAGGGTTTCACAGTAAGTTATTTCAAGCACTTCCTGGGATCATAGGGTATCATTTTCTTTGCAACCTGATTCAGTCGAACAGTCAAAGAAACTACAAATTCTGTGTGGTAGATCCTATGTAATATGAGCAGAAAAGTGTTCCTGGAAGCAAACTTACCTCTCTCCCCCCTCCCACTGCATCCTGCTGTGCTTCTAACAATCACTGGCCTGGGGTTGGTGAGGCCCTGGGGAGAGCATCAGGATCAAGTGGTGTAGTCTAGATGGGACTATAAAGATTCCCCCCCTTTTTTGATTATTCATATTTCTCTGGTTTTTATAGATTTATTTTTAAATAAGATTTTACTGGGATATAATGGCCTGTTATATAGAAGGCCTCTCTTTCTTTGTAGGTCAGGGTATTTTTCCAGCTGATGTTAACAGACAAGACAATAGCATTCTTTTGGTACAGAAGACGGTATAAGGTTCATAGTTCTAATTGTTTAGGTTATAACTTCATAATGTCTGGGTCAAAAAGGATTTTTAACTTGGTATCAGAGAAAAACACCTTTGGATGAGAACAAGCCTTGGCCGATACGACTCAGGTCAGTCAAGTAAATACATGACACTACTGTATAGACACACCTTTCTTGCATTTGACCAATAAGGAGATTTTCATTTAAATGTTTAATTTTTTGTAACCAATTATGCTTTCTGAATATTATTTTCATGATGATGGCATGATGATGTCATATTAAGTATTTAACGTCATGTATTTCCTGGTTGGGCTCAGAAAGCATTTCGATAGGTCATTTAGCCTAACTGTTTTCCGTGTTTGATTGCAATTAAATACAAGACCTTCCTCCTCATTTTGACTTCAATCTCCTATTTTTGACTGGATATTAATTTGTATAACAGTGGGAAGAAGTGGAAAGATCAAGTGACAGGTACTTGTTTGGGGTGGGGCGCAGATTCTTTGTATACAGTAGCATCACCAAATCTCTGGATTAGGGCTTTAATTTTTTTTAAAAATAACTACTGCTTTCTGTTTGCTATCTAATTCTACATTCGGTGGATTATGTTTGCACTATGCAGTTTCAAAACGTATACCATCCCTGGTACAATGATACTTTGGTATGTACCGATAGGAAATGGCTACAGTGCAATCAGTTTTAATAGGTACTGCAATGAATTCCCATTGTGAAAGTCTCATGATATAAAATATTAGATACAACACCCCCACACCATCCAGTTTTCAAATATGTAATCACATGAATCTATAATTTTAAGATTGACTGTGACATATTGTTAAATTATAAACTTCCTTTTATTTTTTAAAAAGTTTTTAGATGCTTGCATCATTGACCATCTGACCATCAGGATTGAAGGGGAAAAGTATTTTCTAAAAACTACTTCCAGTCCTAAACTCTAAAATTATGCACTATATTTACTTTACTGAGAGGCTGTAGTACAAATGCTCTACAGTTTTGCACAATGCACCAGGAATGGCAGACATTATAAGTCTAAGGCATGGGAAATTTAGCCATTTTCTCAGAGGAAAAGTCCAACAATGGCTAAAGTAGAAAAAAAGAACAAAGCTTATGTGGGCTGCTCCCAACCAGCCATTATGATGTGACCAACTGCTATGTAATAGTAAAAGACCTGTCAGAATTTCCATTATGAATTGAGTGAGTTTATATGCTTGTAAAAATTCATTCCAGAGTGAAAGTTGGCTGAAAAATATATCAGAGCTTGTAATACTATTTGGAACCAATTTGAACTAAAGACATGCAGCTGCTAAAAACTTTTACTTGCAAGCAAACTGTAGACATTTATCCACTTGAGATTATGAACATTGATTTAGAAGACTTTAAGACTATGACAAAAGGAAGGTGTTTGCTTCCCTTCAGGATGGAAAGTATGAAACATCCTGCTGCATCTGTAGTGAGACAAAAGCTAGGACAACCAAGATGTGATTTCCATCCTTTTATTTCCAAGGATGAGACAGGATTAAATAAAGAACCATACAACACTGGGGAAAACCCCAGAGAATTATGTAGATATTGCATTTTCTTGGAGTTTTCCCTAAATTCCTGTGAGTAGATTTTGCTATAAACAATATGAATGTGGAGAGGAGAAGATGTGATGGGTAGGAAGTGGGAAAGATGGCATATGCTACAAAGATGTGGATTTCTTCATGTTTTTCTCTGTGTTTAGGACTGTGGGTTTGAGGACAAGACATAGCTAAAAACTATTTCTTGCCAAACATCGAGGACTGCTACAACTAGTTGTATGTGAAGTGTTCCTCTAATGCCTCCCTCATATAGCCGGATCAAGTTTTACTGTGTGACTAGTTGAATAACTTTTTCTATACCCATTACATACAAGCTCTTTGGCTATATGATATATGACATGCACTGGACCACCAGGGTCAGTTTGGGGTTTCCCAGACAGGGTGAGCCAAGTCTTTCTCCTACCTGCTGAGCATAAATATATATAGCCTGGAATAATCACTTCCTTAGTGAATCTTTCCTCTTTCAGAAGTTCTGTGGATCAGTGAAGAAAAAAACAACCAGGAAGGCATCACTTCTGCAGCCGTGTTCTGTTTCCCCAGCCCACCAATTTAGTTATGGGTAACAGAAGCCTGGACACAAGGCTCAGCAGGCATTCAGAGCGCATCTAACGTTCTAGATGAATGTTAAAAGCTTTCATCAGCACAGTCAGCGGAATCTATTCATTTTCAACCAAGATATGTTTTTGACCATCTTCAAGTTTATAACACACCAGCTACCCAGTCCACCCACTTTATTAGAAGTAGGACTACTTTTAGGGAAATGCTTTTAGTAATTTCAGCTGAAACCCTAAATAAATTCCAAGATCTCGTGTACCATTTTCCAAAATCTGATCTCAGCACAAATTATACAGACAATATTTGCAGACCGAAATAAAAACTGATATTAACAACTGAAACTACCTTTACTGCAAACAATCTATTTTAATAATGACTCTACAGCTGGTAAGTCTCCAAAACAAAGCATCTGTGATTAATTTACCGCTCTCCTTGCTAAATGCTATAGCCAGAAGAGAAAGTACATACTGGAGAATACAAGTCTGAATCAACTGTGTGTAAAAATTTACAAAGGACATCTGTTAAGTCCTTGGTAATGAAAACCACATTTTACTGTTGGATTTTTTTAAAAAAAATAACAAATCTTTAAACAGCTGAACTTTCTAAAAAAATCCTAACATAACCACCTGTACTGCAAAACTGCCATATGTGCCCAAAGGGTTGCCACCTGAAATATCTAGATTATATAAACAATACACACTTTGGTCAAACTGTTATTCAATCAACATACCCTACTAGATGGAATATTAATTTATATAATTTGAGGATGGATTATAGCTTTTTTTCCCCTCAGGCAGCCAATAGTTTGAAAGGGGGATTGCTGTAGAAAGTGTGTATACTCAGCCTTTATTTTGCCTCTGATTAATATT